GACTCGTTTGTTTTCGCGATCTGCTTCGCTATTCTCTCACGATTTTTTATGCTATCCATGTTGAGGGAACGTTGCATAGTTGACGTATCGACTACAACTAACCACGTTACGGTACCGCGAACTCGTTAAATTCTTTTCTGTATCGTCCATCTCTAAGAGCGCAGTCCTTATCTATCACTAGAAATCCATACTTTTGCTGCCAACAAGTACGACATAATTCACAGAAATCTTCATATGACATGTCAGTGTTTACGTGATCATTGTATACATGTTTCAGATTGGTTCCATCCTGTTTAAACAGGATCAACAGATTTGCGTTGTCACGTATAAGATGCTTCGGTATCTTTGCATACGTCTGACAGAGATAGAAACAGTCGACATGTGCGTGGCGGCCCATTGCAAAGTATTCTCTTATGACGTCTTGCTTGTCGCATGCACGTCATCAAAGACAAAAATGGAATTCGGAAGCGTTCGGTTCGTTGGAACCTCGTTCGGTAGAACAACGTCGCTGTTATTGAAAAATGTAAAATAACCAATTTCTTCTATCGGTGACAATATACTCTCCAAGTATTGATATCGGTTGTTGCAATGATTTCGAGTATATGTACACGTTATTAAAGCGTAGACCGTGCGGACTTTCCAGCAAGCTTATCAATACGTTTGTCTTGCCACAGTTTAGCGGACCACATATAATACCGCGTATAGAAGTCGGTAGCATGTTTCCATGCTTACGTATCTTCTCAGGTATTAACTATATCTTGTTGTCGAAATTTACAACATTAATCGTCTGCGACTGTCGCACGAACCGCATGTTTCCTTCTCTCCAACCAAAAAACTGAAAAAAACAATACCGAGAGCGGACCTATTTATAGAGGCGCGTAGATTGAAACAGATCAGTAGCCAAAATGTTTATCATCGTATCGGATAACCGCGACATACACAATTTAACTGCTGAACAGTTAGAGTACATACCAAAAGTTGTTCTGTTGCGAGAGGTTTACAATTGTATCGATCAATTGTGAAGCAGGTTATCCGAACATATAAAAGCTGATTCGGAGGTTCAACAGTATCGTCGGTGTCTGAAACATTACAATCAACCGTGGCAGCGGACACACGTTGACGGTCCTGCACCGTTTGTAAAGAATTGCAGCGAATGTCGGCGAAAGGTCGTGGCTTGTTAAACCGCGCGATAAACGCACTTCCTTTCGAACTGCATATCCCAGGATATCAGTTTTGCGGTCCGGGAACATTTAAAAGGGCGATTGGCCAGAGGTGATCAGGGCATTAACTCGCTGGACGAGGCGTGTCGTGAGCACGACATAGCTTATTCACATAGTAACGACCTCGCTAAACGACACGTGGCTGACGAGATACTCACCACGAAAGCGCGGAAACGCATTACCGCGAAAGATTCGACTTTCGGAGAAAAGGCTGCTGTTACGACTGTTTGGGCCGCTATGAAGGCTAAAACAAAGCTCGGTATGGGTTTGAAGACAAAGACGAAGACGAAGAAGAAGAAGAGTGCAATGAGCAAGCGAATACTACCGGTTGCGAAACGTGGTGGTACGTTGCCAATCCTGCCAATATTGGGAGTTCTCGGTTCTATGATTGGCGGAGCTGCGGGAGTTGCGAAGGCGGTGAATGATAATAAAGTCATGCAGCGTCAACTGAAAGAACTGAAACGTCATAATCGCGTCATAGGAGGTCATGGACTTTACCTTCTTCCGCGTGGATATAAGCGTGGACAAGGAATTTCGACGAGGAAAAAAAAAGTCAAAAAAATACTAGAAGTGCCCAAGGGCGTGTGGCGATTGGAGACATAAATTGAGCGTAAGAGTAGTCGCGAATTAGGCGAGACACCGAGGGTGGAAGAGAGAGAGAGTAAAGAGAGGGGATGACGGCGAGAGTGCTGAAAATGAGGGATGAGGAAAGGCAAGGCAGAAGAATTCGGAATTCGAGAGAGAGAAGAAGAGCTCGGAACTTGAAGGAGGGAACTCGAAAGTCAGACATCCTCGGCAAGGAGAGATTGTGCAAAGAAAGTTTGTGTGTGGGACTCTCGGATGTTCGGAAGAGAGCAAGAGATCGGGACCGGCCGGTTTACCAGGCCAATTGGAGAGACCAAGGACGCGAGATACCCCGGGGCCTCACGGTGGAATCTGTGAGCCCATCGTCACAGAGTCGCCCCTTTGATCCATCGATTCCATCGCGTACGACGAAGCAGGGGGACCGACGCAATTCGGACGACTCACGGGAAAAGGCGCATCGTCCTTCGATCGGCTCTCCGCCCTCCATCTCCGTTAAGTATTCGGCGATCCCTTATATCGAATATCTCCATGAGATCGGTAAAATGTAAAGTTCCGCGGCGATAACTGATTGTACCACTCGCCGACCGCTCTTCTCAGAGATCTCATGACGCGCTCAACTCACTAGCTCTTTTCCGCGATTGAAAGCGTAATCGAATAATTGTCAGATATCTATATATATATGTGAGTATTCGAATTAAAGTTGTAAACGACAAGTTGCGCATCTTCCTTGCATTATCCCTTTCCGTTTAATACCGTTACAGGCGTAACTACCAACATACAACTGCAGCAACTGGCAAAACGTATGCGTATTCCATATTTTAGAGGTGTTTTCATGCGTACTACCTTACCAACAGAGGGAGTATACCGAAACGAGAGCGATATCGTGAATTTAGACGATGCCGAAGGACCAGGTACTCATTGGGTAGCGTATGCGAAGAGGGAAAATCGTGTTATATATTTCGACAGTTTTGGAAATCTTCAACCGCCGAAGGAATTGGTGCGATATTTAAATAATGGTGTAACTGAAATCGAGTACAATCACACATCTTATCAACATTATGATCAAAGCAATTACGGACAGCTGTGTCTGCAATTTTTACTAACTGTTGCTGATCAATTTAAAGATTGATTTTACGCTGTTTAACTCAGTATTCATTCAAACATGTCACTGACGTTTACACTGTCTCGCAAGAGTAGCGTTCTCACAGCAAGCTACTTTCCACCCATAGATTTGAGTGACGGTGATTACGAACTCGGTCTGACAGACTTTGAAACCCATTATACGATACCCAATGTAAATAAGTCAAACAATAAATTTTACTATGGCAAAGACGATAAGGAAGTTATCATTCCTGAAGGATCGTATGAAATACAAGACATAGAAAAGTATCTGAAACGCGTAATTTTCCAATCTTGTTCCAACGATACTGCGACGAAGAATGCAAAGACCGGTGAAGGCGAGGAGAACAAGGGTTCGTTGATTATTCGCGCCAACAACAACACGCTGAAAAGTGAGATAAAGTGCTTTTATTGAATAAATTTCACCAAACCTAACAACATTGGATCGTTGTTGGGATTTTCACGGAATCGTATTCTGGAGCCACAACAGTGGCATGACTCAGACACACCGATAAATATCATGAACGTAAACATCATTCGCATCGAGCAACGTGACTACGGGTGCGTACAGCAATGAGACGAGCGTGCACACGATACATGAGTTTTCACCGAACGTACCGCCAGGATATAAGATCTCAGAAACACCGAAACAGATCATTTACCTTCCAATCATCGTACGGAGAATTACGGACTTGACGATTCGCATTGTGGATCAAGACGGTCGTTTACTTGATTTTTGCGGAGAGAAAATCACCATTAGATTGCATGTATGGAAACGATTACGATAACGTGAGATGCTTGTGCTAAACGAGTCAGTGAAACAGGTAAGACACATTTTTCAATAAAGAGACGACAACCAAGAGTATTCGAACATTCAGTAAAAAGAAACTCACTGCGTCGAACGTTATATTTTTAAAATTAGGATTCATTGTACGAAATATCTAAAATGGTTGATATCCTGAACATTGGAGGTGAGCTGATCTTTGACGATAGCATCGTCAAGATTGAGTCTCACACGTATAACCCATATGTCAACACATCATATCAACATAATGACGATATAAGGATACCAATACAACAGCAGGATTTATACACATTGCCGTGCGAAAGTTCACTTTACAAAGGAAGATTGACAACAAAGACGAAGAATGATAATACACCAACAATTGGAAATAATTGTGTGGCGTTCATGTTTGACGAAATGCGATATGAACTCAACGGTGTGGAGATTGATTGCAATAGAAACGTTGGAATAATTACCACTCTAAAGAACTATATATCAATGTCACAATCAATTGGCTTTGCGTAATGCTGGATTTAACGTAACTAACGTCACTCTCATCACAAAAGATGATTACTTTAGTTTTTGCGTACCGCTCAACATGCTGTTTGGCTTTTGCGAGGATTACCAACGTGTGGCACTTAATGCTCGTCACGAATTGATTTTGATACGAGCGCGCAACAACAATTGTCTTCAGGGAGATCCGGCAATGGAACCGAAACTTGAGTTATTCAAAATATAGTGGCGAATGCCCCACGTTACGTTGAACGAAGTCAATAAACTATCCATGCTATGAGCTTTGGAAAGCGGGTGATATCTGAATGTGAGTTTCCGTTTATGGGATCTGTACGAGTACCCGCTATTGCCTGCCACGACGAAACATTCCTGGACTGTCAAGACTACGCCTCAGTTAGAAAAACCGCGATATGTTATCTTTGCCATGCAGACTGGGAAAAAAAATATGAAAAAAAATAAAACTTTCTTTGATATCTGCAACCTAACCAATATAAAACTATATTTAAAGAATTTTATCCATATGATGATCTAAACATAGACTTTGACAAAAATAAAATCGCCATCTTGTATGATATGTTTATACGTTTCCGTAAATCTTATTATCAATTGCATCTCAAAGAGAGTGAATCGCTAATTGACACGACAATGCTTAAAGGTGGTTATACTATAGCAGTCATTGACTGTTTGCAACAAAACGACACCATCGAAAGCGGTCCTGTGGATGTGCGATTAGAATTTGAACTCAAAGATAATGCGCCCGCGGATACTTGCGCGTATTGCCTCATCATACACGATCGTGTGGCTGAATATAGCCCATTGTCCAACGTAGTGCGCAAGATTGTATAAATTGCTGTGCTGACAAACATAAAAAGTAAGATGTTTTTTAATGAGATACAGTCTCAAAAAATCGCTCGTCATGGTCATACCAACGTTTGTCGATCTGCAAGGATTCATCGTGGAGGAAGATTTGCCGTGAAGGAAGTGGCGGTATTGAGAAAGGAGTATATTCTCACGCATTACATTTTTGAGAACCTCATACCATGGAAATTTTTGACAAAATCCGAAAAATGTTGCGCTTCCTGGTTGATTGCATATCACCATGGATTGAAATGGGAAGATGGGATGGTCCCGTACAGCAAGGCGAAACACTTGATTTCAACGGCTGTATTTGATGCGGAAGAAAATGATGACGACGACGACGAACCTCTCGTATGTGTTAAGGGATACGAAAAACGAGAATGGTTGACGAATATGTTCATTGCGAGAGATGACGCAATTATCGAGACCCTGATGCTGATTATGAAGATATAGAATCATTGAATAATATGGATATTACTAAAACTATGCGATGTGGAAAACATGTTAAGAATTGCGCATTACAGAATGTATTTAAAATATTTAACTGGTGGTCACAACGCCAGAAAGAATTGCGAGATTTGAAAAATAAAAATTATATCATTAATGTTTGATTTAAAAGATTACTTTTTATTTCTTTTTCCTTCCCTGTAGTTAAGATCAATAATAGTAATAATTGAACATTACTTGTATAATAATAACGTAAACGCAAACGTGAAAAACGTGAAACGCGAACGTGAAACGTGGACGTGAAACGCGAACGTGAAACGCAAATGTGAAACGCGAACGTGAAACGCGAACGTGAAAAAAAAACGTAAAACGTGAACGTGAACGACTACAGAGATGGAATGCCATGTGGACATAGGTGATAATAGATTAGGAGAAGGAGCGCAATAAAAGGTAATCCACAAATGACTCCGGTTAAGGATAACACGTTGAATATATTTAGGATTATGTACAAGGGTAGGAATGTCAGTGTAGATACTTGGTTAAGATGGATTGACTCCGGGAGGAGGTAGGAAGTAAGTCGGGTGGCACCCGAAGGTGCCCGCGCCGAAAGGTGCGAAATTTAGCGCCTGTTCTCTTTCCCCAAAAGCTCGAACAGGGCCTTCGTCCGGTCCTGGACGAAGGGTCGGCGGCGGAAGCGTGGAACCGGCTGGAGCGGAATGCTCACAACTGCC